CTGACATGTTCTCCCTGTGTCAGCGTGGGTTTCCTCCAGGTGCTCTGACATGTTCTCCCTGTGTCAGCGTGGGTTTCCTCCAGGTGCTCTGACATGTTCTCCCTGTGTCAGCGTGGGTTTCCTCCAGGTGCTCTGACATGTTCTCCCTGTGTCAGCGTGGGTTTCCTCCAGGTGCTCTGACATGTTCTCCCTGTGTCAGCGTGGGTTTCCTCCAGGTGCTCTGACATGTTCTCCCTGTGTCAGCGTGGGTTTCCTCCAGGTGCTCTGACATGTTCTCCCTGTGTCAGCGTGGGTTTCCTCCAGGTGCTCTGACATGTTCTCCCTGTGTCAGCGTGGGTTTCCTCCAGGTGCTCTGACATGTTCTCCCTGTGTCAGCGTGGGTTTCCTCCAGGTGCTCTGACATGTTCTCCCTGTGTCAGCGTGGGTTTCCTCCAGGTGCTCTGACATGTTCTCCCTGTGTCAGCGTGGGTTTCCTCCAGGTGCTCTGACATGTTCTCCCTGTGTCAGCGTGGGTTTCCTCCAGGTGCTCTGACATGTTCTCCCTGTGTCAGCGTGGGTTTCCTCCAGGTGCTCTGACATGTTCTCCCTGTGTCAGCGTGGGTTTCCTCCAGGTGCTCTGACATGTTCTCCCTGTGTCAGCGTGGGTTTCCTCCAGGTGCTCTGACATGTTCTCCCTGTGTCAGCGTGGGTTTCCTCCAGGTGCTCTGACATGTTCTCCCTGTGTCAGCGTGGGTTTCCTCCAGGTGCTCTGACATGTTCTCCCTGTGTCAGCGTGGGTTTCCTCCAGGTGCTCTGACATGTTCTCCCTGTGTCAGCGTGGGTTTCCTCCAGGTGCTCTGACATGTTCTCCCTGTGTCAGCGTGGGTTTCCTCCAGGTGCTCTGACATGTTCTCCCTGTGTCAGCGTGGGTTTCCTCCAGGTGCTCTGACATGTTCTCCCTGTGTCAGCGTGGGTTTCCTCCAGGTGCTCTGACATGTTCTCCCTGTGTCAGCGTGGGTTTCCTCCACGTGCTCCGACATGTTCTCCCTGTGTCAGCGTGGGTTTCCTCCTCATGCTCCAACATGTTCTCCCTGTGTCAACGTGGGTTTCCTCCTCATGCTCCAACACGCTCTCCCTGTGTCAGCGTGGGTTTCCTCCTCATGCTCCAACATGTTCTCCCTGTGTCAGCGTGGGTTTCCTCCTCATGCTCCGACAAGTTCTTCGCGTGTCAGTGTGGGTTTCCTCCAGGTGCTCCGACATGCTCTCCCTGTGTCAGCGTGGGTTTCCTCCTCATGCTCCGACATGTTCTCCCCGTGTCAGTGTGGGTTTCCTCCAGGTGCTCCGACATGCTCTCCCTGTGTCAGCGTGGGTTTCCTCCTCATGCTCCGACATGTTCTCCGCGTGTCAGTGTGGGTTTCCTCCAGGTGCTCTGACATGTTCTCCCTGTGTCAGCGTGGGTTTCCTCCTCATGCTCCAACATGTTCTCCCTGTGTCAGCGTGGGTTTCCTCCTCATGCTCCGACAAGTTCTTCGCGTGTCAGTGTGGGTTTCCTCCAGGTGCTCCGACATGCTCTCCCTGTGTCAGCGTGGGTTTCCTCCTCATGCTCCGACATGTTCTCCGCGTGTCAGTGTGGGTTTCCTCCAGGTGCTCCGACATGCTCTCTTCGTGTCAGCATGGGTTTCCTCCTCATGCTCCAACATGTTCTCCCTGTGTCAACGTGGGTTTCCTCCTCATGCTCCAACACGCTCTCCCTGTGTCAGCGTGGGTTTCCTCCAGGTGTTCCCACATGTTCTTCTTGTGTCAGAGTGGGTTTCCTCCAGGTGCTCCAGCTTCCTCCCACAGTCCAAAGACATGCAGGTTAATTGGTGACTCTAAATCGTCCATAGGTGTGAATGTGAGTGTGAATGGTTGTCTGTCTCTACGTGTCAGCCCTGTGATAGTCTGGTGACCTGTCCAGGGTGAACCCTGCCTCTCACCCAATGTCAGCTGGGATAGGCTTCAGCCCCTGTGACCCCCAACAAATTAAGCGGTTATGGAAAAGGAATGAATGAATGTTTTCTTTAGTGTATAATCACCTTAAAAAGATAAATCGTTGTGTTTTTGTTACCTTAAAAAGACACTTTTATATCTACATAGGGAGCAGGTCCTCGTCTACAGAGATCACTATCTTACTCAATAGACAATATATGGTGCTATAACAAAGCCAGGGAACACACCTTTAATGTACCATACATGTGCCTAAAGTGTAAATGGTAAATTAATTCAGTTTGAAGAAGTTTGAGGGCTGTTTTATTTGAGCTATGTACTGAATGCTAATCCTACAGCTGCAAACTGTTCCAACTATTTTTATTGCAGCTCAGCAAAGACCAAATGTGATCATTAGGACCTTTATAAAAATGTGTCTCCAGGACTTTGGCCAACATATAGGAACATGACTCGATGCACCAAAGGGAGGAAACCTCAAAGCCACGAGGGAGAGACAGAAACAATCCTCAGTCAGCCACCAGCTGTAAAACTTCCATTATTGAGGGTGGAAAATGTCAAAGTTAAATTACCTTTCAAAACACTGCTGTCTTCAAACAGGACCTACGGTACCTATCTGCTCTCATCTGTCCTGGAGCTCTGCAGACTTCCATGTAAAGACTGAAACACAATATTTCACTCAATCCGTCCCCACAGCACTGCCCTGTTTCACCACTCTGTTTACCTCTATACCGTCCTCTTTGTGTCCCTGAACACGACATTTATGAGTCTTTTACTGTTCCTTCGGTTTGTGATTTGAACCTTCTGCACAGAAACCTGTCAAGTGTTGGAGATGGTTTTAATCTGCGACCAGCAGACGTCTGAAAAAGCAGAGCCAATATTTCACCTTTGTTTTCCAAACTAATCCTCAGTTTCTGTTTCCCGCTGCTGCAATCACCCAGCTTCCCTTCAGGGATCAATTATGTTCATCTCATCTTTATTTATTACCAATTCTGTAAATCAGTGCAGCTGTGCAAAGGCTGGAGAGCAAAGTGTGTGGCACTATTCAGCCTGTGTGTCGATTATATTACAATATTACAGACAGAAAATACTGATTGGTATTTACTATTATACTGGTTCTTCATGAGATCCCAGAGCCTCGGGTAATCCTGACAGGTCTTTGACAGGTTGCACTGTTTGACGAGACCAAAAACCCTTGATATGTTGAATATTATATGATATATTGTATCTTAAATGTAAGAGATGATATTATAAACTTTTCGGCTTATTTAGGCTGTTTGTCAAATATCTTTCTATATTTAGGCAAGAAAACAGTGAAAAATGTTCTTTGCAAGATCCCAGAGCCTCCGGTTATGTCTTTAGATGATCCTAAGTGCTATATCGTAGGCAACTGGTTTCTTGAAGATGTTTCATCTCTCATCCAAGAGGCTTCTTCAGTTCTAAATGACTAGTACGGAGTTGTAGGCTTTAAACTCTGTGTGGGTGGGAAACCTTGCAGGTCGTTAGGGTCACACGTGAGTCATTGACCCACCCGGCCATCATGTGTGTTGCCAAGGCCCTGACACACCAAGCCGGCAGTCGACCGTCGACCAAAGTTGGGCCGTCGGTGAGCGTCTGTCGGCCTACTTTTTGCGGTGTGTCCCGCACTGTCTGCCCTTCGGAATCGGCATTGGTGGCGTTTCGGCTGATTGAGCATGTTGAATCGGCGGCTGTTTAGGTTTTATTCCCTCGCCCCTGTAGCGAGTGAATCTGCCTGTAGTGAAACCGGGGCTAACTGGTGCTTCCTCCTCAGGCTCCACTTCACTCAGTTGCCCAACAGATCTGCGGCCTCTCCCACTTTAACCTGAATAACAAACCAGAGCTAGCTGGGAGCGGCTAGCGTTAGCCGCAGCATGACCAGAGGGAAGCACAGCCAGTTAGCCTCTGCTAGCTTCTGAGCTAGCCCTAACCGGAGCACCGAGCCCTGTTTTTTTAATTCAGGTTCAAGTGGGAAGAAGCAGCGGGTTTATCGGGCAGCTGAGTGAAGCGGAGCCTGCAGAGGAAACACCAGGACCGTCTGGATGTAATAGTCCGTGGAGGTGCTGCGGTGCTTGGCTGCACAGATAGGAAACCCCTCGGCTGACAGGATGTACCACTCTGTCACTCCGCTCTCTCTCATGCAGGCGCAGAACGTACGTGCCACTTGGCCGTCGGATGTAGTCCGTGTAGTGTTTTCAAATGCAACTGACACAGGGCGACGTGAGGCAATGTAGACGACGGAATAGTTGACTTTCATCGCCGCTAGTTCTTTGATGTTGGTTTGGTGTGTCCGCACCTTTAAAACCATCACCTAAAGGGCCCTTTTACACCTGAAGAACATCTCCAGACTCTGCTCCCCTCTCTCCCATTCCTCCGCACACACTTTGATACACACCTTTATTACATCTAGACTAGACTACTGCAATGCTATTCTCCTTGGCGTTCCTGCCCGGGGGTTAAATAGACTGCAATATGTCCAAAACTCAGCTTCAAGAGTCCTGGTATCACATTACACCTTCAGCAGCTTCACTGGCTCCCTGTTAAACAGCACATTTGTTTTAAAATACTCCTTCTTGTCTTTAAATGTCCCCACGGCATGGCACCACCCTACCTCTCCAATCTTCTCCATTTGCACACACCGCCTCATTCACTCTGTTCTTCTGATGCCCACTTACTCACCAACTCCCCCTTCCAGGCTCTATACTGTGGGTGACTGAGCACGACACACAATGAGCAGCAACGAGTGGAATCAGTCTGCATCAGACCATCTGAACCTGACAGTACGATCACAACTGAAACTACAAGTTCATGGTCACCATTGTTCCTGAGCTGATTTCCAAAATGGCTGCTGGAGTGTGTTTTAGTCGCCGTACACAGAGTTCACAAAGACACACTGCACATTCCCATCCATGCATCAGAGCTCAGTTAGCACAAGCACATATACACAAACCTCCGGGACACACAACACACACGCACACACACATACAGACATACATTAGCAGGGTGTTAGCAGCACTCACCACTAGTTGGCGCAGCAGTAGTTAAGTGAATGCAATGAGGGAAGCAGACTGTGAAGAGAAGCACAGATTAGTGGACATCAGTCAAAACACAGCATCAGCGTTGGGTCAAAAACATCACATTATTTAAAGGTATCACATTGATCAGAGGGTCAATTAGTCGACGAGGCGATCAGTTAATAACGGCTGCTTAACGAGAGGCTGGTTAATTACACAAAAACAACACATTACAACAAGGTGAGCACAAACTGTCACTTTCACAGTCCATTAATTATTAAGGCAGAACATCAGCAATCAGTCATTCAGCAGTCACGTGATGACAAGATGAACATGGAGCGTCAGTCAGACGAGAACAAAATGAAGGTTGTTTCAAGGTCCAGGAATTAGACAGATCCCTAAGAAACATGTCAATGTATAAACTTCTTTAGTCTTTAGTAAATATGTACGGACACTGAAAAAATCATGTGGAAGAGTGCGAACTGAACACGTCAGGTCTTATTTTGATTATTTTCTGTCTTGTGTGTGTGTGTGTGTGTGTGTGTGTGTGTGTGCACGCTTACAAGGAAACTTCATGCAGAATCATGCATTTTCCTTTAAACCACTGCAGATCTCTGAGGCATAGAAGCATGCGCCCACACGCGCACACGCGCGCACACACACACACACACACACACACACACACACACACACAGAGGCCTGTTCTCCAGCGGGTACAACGTTGGCAGGAATTCACTGAAACCGCTGTGGCTAACCTCTTGCGGCTACACACTCATTTACAGCTTTAAAGAAGAGGCACACACACACACACACACACACACACACACACTGTACTCTTAGACGTTTTTCGTGGTAAATACTTTAATACGGTGAGAAAATAGTTGATTATGTACTGTCATAAAAGTCTGTGGCTGTTTGTACCTGCGCTTCTGTGTGTGTGTGTGTGTGTGTGTGTGTGTGTGTGTGTGTGTGTGCGTGCAGTACAGTTTATGTGCTTACATAATGATAAATGTACTGATGAACACTGAAAAACATTAGGGACTGTTTGCTATTTATGAGGGGGAAGGGGTGGTAAAAAAAAAGGTGAAGACATATCAGATGATTTTTAAACACTTGGGAGGGAATTATGCTTTTTATTTTGGCTCAGAGGAGGGGTGAAACAATTAAATGTCTGTATTTTGTATTTATTGTTGAAGACAACATGCCTTCTCATCCTGTCTGTGCAGGTTTAGAAGGCATGCTTTCTTTAAAAATCACCAAAATGACATCGTTTATCAGCCAGAATCTGTTTAAACAGAAATTATCCTTGGATTTCCGACAGTCCTTTGACACATCATGTGTGACAGACACTTCTGTCAGAGAAAAAACAAAACCAAATCTGAGTTGAAAATAGTGATATTTCATCAAAATCTCTCTATTCTACATCTCATCTAAAATTTGGCCAAAAATACCTTTTTGCATGAACTGACCAGCAGGAACGACAAGAGTGAAAAACTGAGGCTTTTTTTCAACTCCAGGATTTCGTCTTCAACTTTTAACTTTAAAACATCAAAGGGTAAGTTTTAAAAACCTAATAACTCATTTATGGTGGAGGGAGGATCAAGGAAAAATATTTGTAGCTTTGGTGAGGTAAAAAACAAACAACCAACCAAACAAACAAACAAACAAAAACAAGTCACACACCAGCTGGTCCCCCCTCCTCTGAAAAGTAAAGAACAGTCCCTAAGCAAATTTTTTAAAATGTTATTGCGCATGATTTGATTTAATTTCCCTTTCAGGTCATGAAGAAGTACGTGTGTGTGTGTGTGTGTGTGTGTGTGTGTGTTTAACTAGCCAACTGGGTTTTTAGAGCAGAGCAGGAATCACTAAGACGTTTGGTCAGCAGCCAAACTGGTGGCTGGAGTCAATTAACTCAGCAGCCGCAGTCAAAACGCAGCAGAATTTGGCCAGAGTCTGGTTGTAATTTTCCACCCTGATAGCAAACACACTGAAACATTTACTGCTCTGAGGTCCTGCATGATACAGTACTGTACAGTGTGTGTGTGTGTGTGTGTGTGTGAGTGATACATGATATTTCAGCTCCACAACAATTAGAAAATGAAAAAACAGTTAATCGACTGTTCCCTCTGATTCATATTTACTGCTTCTCTAATGCAAAATAAAATAAAGATATTTTTGTGACTTTTTGTTTCTTCAGTTAGTACTGTAGAATAATTTAGGACACATAACGCAGGGGCTTGGCGATACCCTGTGGTGAGAATCAAATAAACCCTGACACTCTTTGGTGCGACAGTTTGGGTCGTCCCCTGCTCTGATGTCAGACTGTGATCACTTCCTGTACTCACTGCAGCTGAGTGTGGTGTCAGTCTGGGCCATGGTGGACGGGATGCTCCAGTGGCTGTTGTCCCAGTCGATGACGTTCCCCACCGTGTCGCAGCTCAGCGCGGTGACCTGCTGCACTGTCATGGCATAGTCCCACAGCCGGAGGTTGTAGATGTTCCCGTTGAAGCTGTGCTGCCCTGAACACACACACAGACACACAGACATCACATGTATCAGTCATTTATTTCCTCAGGTTTCCTCAGGGTGTTTCAGAAATGTTGCAAATCCATGAGTTGGACTATTTTTTTATTCCCATCTGGTGTTTCCCACAGTGCAGCTCTGGAAACATCTGTCTGTCAGTCAGACTGAAACGTCTCAATAACTGAGCTGTGATGAAATGTGGCTCAGACTTGACAGATGTTCTTTCTTCTCACCAAAGAAAACTATCATGAAGATCAAAATCAACTTTACAAGAAGGACTAAAAAACAAAATTCAACTCAAACTGTGGAATATTCATTTCTTTTCAGCTAATTTTCCAATGTATGATTACTCCTCACTGTCGCTCTCTGACTACTGCTGCTGCTGCAGCAATGTGAGCAGTTGGTGAGTGTCCACCCGCACACACACAGTGACATGGCTAAATGTTAGCATCACACAGCTAACGTTATGTAACGGTTATTGACAGGACAAAGTCGAGCTGCTTAGATGTTGGTTTGTTGGATGGCTTGGTGTTGGATGTTAGCTGCTGTGTTAGCTTGTGCTAACTGGGCAGACACTGGAGCTAACTGGGAGGAAAGCAGCTCAGAGGTGGGTTCTTCTTTAGTGCTGCGTCCATGGGCGTGGTAGTGGGGGGAAAAGTGGACCTGACTACCCAGGGCCCGAGTAGGGAGAGGGGCCCATGAAAATCCTGATTTTTTTTTTTTGGTGATGTTTTTATTTCGAATGAATTGGGCCCTCCAATTAATTGGTGTCATAATTTATTTCAAATATATTGATAACATCAACTGAGAGAATGAACTTTATGTCACAGTCCTCCCACATATTGGACATTCTGGGGGCCCCCTCTTGGAGGCGCAAAATGGTTTAGTCCGCCCGACAGCGACCGGCGACAAGTGTAACGTCAGTGAGCCCAGATTGAATGACCTGGGGGCTAGACATCATGCTGCCCAAAAAGCATAAATCGGGGTATCAAAAGAAGAAAGAGAGGAAAGAAAAAGAAAGAAGGCAGAATGAGGGGAGGCAGCTGTTGACTGCTTTCTTTCCCAAAGGTGAACCGAGTTTGCTTGTTATGCAAAGTCCAATTAAAGTTAACGTAGTCCACTCCAGACAGCTGCTGCTGATGTTTGTATGCTCACGTGAAGTCTTTAGCTTAGCTAGTTGCCAACCAGGCTGCTTGCGGCTGTAAGTATAAAGACAATTATGGGCCAGCTAACGTTAGTTGTCAACATTAACCAGTTTCAGAAACAAACAGTGGCGCTGGCGCAGCCGCAGCAGCTGGAGCAGCAGGAGCAGCAGGAGCAGCAGTGGCCAGTCCTGGCGGCTCTTCTGAAGATGAGGCTGAGATTAGAGATGAGCAAAGACAAGGTGAGATCGTTGTTCAAGTATTCAAGGGCGAGCTCCCCCCTCCAACCCCCTCTTACATTGGTATGTTGGTTCGCAAGGGAGAGAGAGAGAGAGACAGAGAGAGAGAGAGAGAGAAAGAGAGAGAGAGAGAGAGCTGCTGACTGGTAGAATTGCTGCCTAAATGCGAGTTGTTTACCTTAAGTTTAAAGTAAGTTAGCCTTTTGGTTCAGTGCGTGTGCTATAGCCTATTGTCTACTAACACAGCAGAGCTGAAAGTGAAACTCCGTGCTGAGACTTAATAAATGATCCACCTAGCAATATTTCTGCTGCATATATCAACATGTAAATAGCCTACCAATATCACTGTAGGCTCAAGTGCACACTAGTAATATATTAATTGAGCAATAAAGCAATTTATTATTTTTGTCTGGTAAAAAGCCTTAGCATTGCAGTGCAGTGCTGTGCTTAAAAGCTATTGTCAATGCTCAGTAAATTCATGATGTTACCAAACCCAATGAATAATCATGTTAAATAACTGTGATCTCTATATCAATCAAAAATAATTGTGATTATGATTTTTGCCATACATTTTTGCCATAGATATATAGAGAGAGAGAGAGAGAGAGAGATAGGTGTAGGTGGTGAGAAGAACATAGAAAAACAATTAGCTATTCCTCTCAATCTGGCTGAAAAATGGCTTAAAACATTTTTGCCTCTGCAACTTGCTGACCATGATGAATACTGTGTGTTATAGCAAATAATTAGGCTAGTCTAAGCATCTATTGTAGGAAAGCATATCTGATGTTTACTTCACGTTTGACTTTTAATGAACATATTTGCAACCTTTCACATTATCTTTGTACTTGTTCTAAATGGTAGATGTCAAGCGCTGTCAAGCGCCCTCTTGTGGATACTTACCAGTTATGACTAGTTGACAGCCTTAGAACTCAGCCCATAGCAACACAAAAATGAGCCCCATTTAAAAGACAATCTGTCAACATAATAAGCAATGCTTGGCCATATGTTTCATTATTTTTAGCAGTTTATCTTGCACTGAAATGGCTCTAGAAATACAAAGTGAGCTTGCTTTAAAAAGAAGGTTGGGTTATTTGTATGTTAAGAGGCTAAAACCAATTCTTTATTCTTGTAGATGTAGAGAGTTCTGCATCAGATGCAAGGAAGGGTGTAGCTTAAAACCCTATTTATGCTTTTTTATTTTAAATAAATACCCCTTTTTTTTTCTTTTTCTTTTTTGTTTTTTTTGCTCACGCGCCTCGTGCACTGGCATGGATAGGGGCCCACTGACACTGAGAGTGTACAGGGCCCAGAATTTGGTGCTACGCCCCTGGCTGCGTCTAACGTCCGGGATGCAAATTTATACATCCTAGGATAGCGAAGGAATCACCTGCCCTACGGTTCTATGATTGGCTGGTACTCATTGCCTTCGTTGGTTGGACTGGTCAGGTTTAGGAAAGAGGAGTAGGATTGGTTTGGGTAAGAACATCAGGGTAAACCAAGCAGAGGCAGAGTAAAGGCCAAAACACACCGGTGGCGAATGGCGTGTGTCAAAAATTATATTATACAGACAATAGCCATAAAGATACTTCCTGGTAAGTCATAGCTCTGGAGATTGGTTCTTCAGGTGAGAAATCATGTATAATTTGGGGCTGTCGACACATGATAAAAAACATGTTTTGTGAAGTCATATTGACCTACCCTGGAAATCCAGAGTTCTCGCGAGAGCACAATTTGAATTTGCTCAGCGAGTCACTCTGGCAATCAGTAATGATGCTCATTACCTATGCTGTTGGAGCCGAGCTGCACCAATCACATCGGTGTATCTGATATAGTCGGGCCAGAGGCGAGCTAAACAGATGACGACAGCGCTGTGACGATGAAGTCCGGAATCAGTCATTAAACATTGCAAGATGGCTACGGATGAACACCAGTTGTTTGAAACTGCTTTGGCTGCTACAATGAATGAGTTAGACTTGGCTTTTTCTCTAAAAGAGGAACAGAAGACGGCGCTCGAATCTTTCCTTTGCAAGAAGGATGTTTTTGCTGTTTTGCCGACCGGATATGGCAAGAGTCTAATCTACCAGTTAGCTCCGCTGGTAGCGCTCTGGATACGTCACCCTGTGTATTGTTCTGATTGGTCGTAGTGTTATCCAATTGCATGCAGTGATATTTTCAAATGCATGCTTGCTGCCGCACCTTGAGTTGGGCCATTTGCATTACTCATAGCCAGACCCTAAATCTTTCTAGATGTGGGTCTGGATTTCCAGGCTATCTTCGACCACCAAATCTAATCAATTCATTGTTGAGTCCAAGTGGACGTTTGTGCCAGATTTTTAGAAATTCCCTCAGGGTGTTCTTAAAATATCAAGTTCATGAAAATGGGACAGACATACGTACAGATGGAGAGACGGACAATTCAAAAACATAATGCCTGCAGTCATAACTATCACCAGCATGGAGGCGTAAAGAAAATAAAAAACTCACCTCCTAACTGGAACCGTCCACCAGCAGGGACTGAGTGCCCCACAGAGGAGGAGCAGGTCTTGGCCCAGTAGTTCCTGTTGAAATAAACTGCCACTCGGCCATTTGACGAAGTCCAGAGGACACAGAACTGCTTCATTGTGGAGGTGAAGTCAGAGGAGGAGATGATGGAGTCTATCGAACACACCACCCCGTCAACAATCATCTTCATACCAGACTGATCGGAGCCCAGACTCAGAGCTATGTTGTTGCTGCTGTCGTAGTAGGTGAAGATCCACTCTTTCTGTTCAGGAAACAAAAGAACAGACTCAGAAACATGTTTTCAATGTTACGGACAAAAAATGACAAGTTGTCAGAGGTGTTAATGACCCTGTGGCTCCACCCACAGCTCTGTGTGTCTGTACCTGTTTCTGGCTGCTGCGCTCCACCTCAAAACACAGTGTCAGGTGACTGAGCGAAGGTATGGACACAGAGTTGGAGACCTCGGTGACCTGGCTGTTGCTTCCGGATATGGTGACCTTCTGGTTCCTCAGAGCCACGGCAACTGGAGAGGAGAGATGGAGGAGGAGAAAGGAGGAGAGGAGGGGAAGGATGGAAGGCAAGAGGAGGAGGAGGAAAGAAAAGGATGAAGAAAGTACATGGAGGCATTGACGTGAAGTGTGAGCAAAAAGAGTAAGAAAAGGAAAAAGGAGGATGACGAATAAAAAAGAAAACAAGTACATAAAAGTAAGAAAAAGACACAAGGGCACAGAAATGACAAAAACAAGGAGGAAGTAATGACGCAACAGAGGAGAAGAGTGAAGAGAAGAGGGAGGAAAATAAAATCAGGAAGGAGAAAGAATAAAAAATGAAAGTGGCAAAGTCATAGAAAGAAAAACAATAAAACATGTGTTGATCAGAAAAAGAAAAATTAAAGTAAGGAGAGAGAAATGAATTCAGAAAGGACGGGCGATTAAGACAAGAAAGAGGAAGTCAAACAGATGAAGGCGTTACAATACATAACAAGACAGAAATGAACATAAGTGACTGAAAATCTTTCATCCATCTTTGTTTCAGTTAATCGTTTCAGCTGGATGAAAGTTGAATTGATGAAATTTTGAAATACACAAACAAAAATATCCACCACATGACAAGTGTTTGTATTATTCTGCACGTCTGATCAGAGGTGTTGTTGGACTCGAGTCACATGACCTGGACTCGAGTCAGACTCCAGTCACAAATTTGATGACTTTAGACCCAACTTGACAAAATCCAAAAAGACTTGGAACTCGACTCGGACTTTAACACCACTGACTCATGACTTCACTTGGAAGCCTTCTGACTAGAGAATGCTTGATATCTTCCCCTGAGGTCCAAACATTAAAAAGTATGATATTAAAAGTGCCACAAAGCAATTAATTTTCCTTCATTCCCTGAATCAGCTGACATTCATGCTGTTCATTCGCAGCATTTCGACACTTCATACCACAGATCCACTCTGTTTGCACCAACCTGACCTCCTCGCATCTCCTCAGAGATAAGCTTCTGAGCGTAGTCTACAAAAACTACACACAGATCAACAAAAGAATAAAAAGCTAAATAAAAAAATAAAAATTGCAGTATTTAAAATGTGCAGATCAGAAACTAGCAGCCCGTTCTCATTCAGGAGTCGTCAAATACTCCCCCTTTGTCAGTGATTTCGGTGTCAGACACCAACGGCAAAAGCCATCTTTCGCTGTGTTATAATACACTACAAGACCGCGTCAGTTTTAAACACTGCCGGCGATGACGTAATGTAACGAGCTGAAAAGTCCCTGTAGGGCGGGCAGAAGGGGTGGTGGATGAACAAAACCTGGATTTCAATTTAGGGGCAAGATGTTCTAACCTGGTCTCACTCTGAAGTCATGCCTTGGACGTCATATGTGGACGTGGAAAGTCCATGACCAAACGAGGACATGTGACGAGGTCGCAATGAGAATGTGTTGGCTATTCACTTCCTGTATGAATGTAGAGCCAAACCAGGATATGTTTTAATGAATTAAACCTAGTGCTTTTGTCGATGTCTGGCGTTGTTTGTGGCATCCTGGAATGTCAACAGCAGATGCAGCAGACTACCTAGCGCAGAATACTCGGACGTTCAAGTCCACTGACAAAGCAGCGATATGTGACGACTTGGAATGAGAACGTGTTGAAACTAGAGACGAAGACACAACTTATAACTTCATTCAACATTTGAAGTTGCACAATGAACGGTAAGTTGAGACTAATATTAACATCGTTAGCTTTGCTAATATGTCGCTAATGCTTTGCTAACGTTAGCTTAACAGCTAAGTAACTTTTTAAAAACTTGATTTGACAGATACTGCAGATACAAATTTCAAAAAGCATTCATGAGCATTTTAAATGTAATATTAATACTCTCGTTAATATTGACATGAGACTTACTTGCGTATTGCAAAACATCTCTGCTTCTGGATATTCATACATGAGTTCTGATGAACAACAAAGTTTGTTTGTCACAAAGTTTTTCCAGCATCAAGACTGACTGGAGCTGCTGGCCGAGAGCAAAACACTGACAGCCAGTGTGCAACGGAAAAACACCACACACACACAAATACATACAGACGTGCCAAACACTGCTGTCAGTGTCCACCTCCTCCTCTGGAGGGGCGATACCTCAGACTGTGTGACGGTGATCCACTCACTGTGGTTTCATACTTTAAATTAAAGCTGCATTAAGAGCTACAAACCAACAGGCTGTGAACACACACCTCTGACTTTCAACACAACAATATGCCTTCTTCCATCTTGTGAAGGGCTCTTTGCATGGGTGGAACATGAATAAAAAATCTAAAATTCAAGTCCTCTTCAGAAACAATCTGGGGCACACTGACGGGCTCGTGCAAAATTAAAATTAAAATCAGCCATTACCATTAGTTCTTTTATTACGAAATAAGAGCATGGTGTTAGTCAAGATAACTGAGATGAACAAACCAGCCTGGATTAGTGCAGCTACATCTGAAGATCAGGACTCTGTTGTCAGCCTGAACCTACCGTGTCTGAAGCTAACACTGAACCCCTTCCTCTGCACGCTGAAGTCGGAGGTAAAGGACAGCTCCATCACGTTCCCCGTTGAGTTCAGCGTCAGCCCGCTGGCCGTCGGACCGCAGAACTTAACGTCTGTGTTTCCTGTGTTCACAACCACCCTGTCGTAGATGCAGCCCGGCGCCTCCTCCAGGTCAAAGTCAAGGAAGGAGAGCTGGATGATGAAGCCGGTGGGGGCCTGCATGGTCCACCTGCAGGCCTGTGAGTTGGGGTATTTCTGTGGGTAGCAGGGCGACGTGAATTCCCCCTGGGCCTCCGTCAGCACCAGGTTACAGAGTGTGGAGCTGCAGCCCAGCGCTGGAGGTGATGGCAGGATGATACATTCATGAACTTTCAAAAAGACACAACCTCCACTGAAGCTGTTAGGGTAATATCACTCAGAGGACAAGATGCTAGTAGACAAGGACACGAGGGGACAGGACAAAAGAGGACAAGAGGATAGGACCCGTAAAAAGGTTGGACACAAGACCAGAGGTAGAAGAGGCAAACACCTACTGTTGTTAGAGGCAGGTGGGGAGGTTTCAAGGACAAACACAGTCAATTCGGCTGTAAAAGGATTCCTTGTTGACTATCAAAAGAGTCAACGACAAAGAGGACGAAGACAAAAGTTTTCAAGAAGGTTACGAGAACCTTTAGGATTCAGGAGACAAAACCAAGACTTTTTTTAAGGGACAAGATAAGGGGACACAAGAAGTGTAGTTACGAGAGTTCACTCCAGGAATCAGGAGAAAACAAAGACAAGACGGAGACAAGTCGTGCGGTTAGCCAAAGGTTCAGCATCCTAGACAGAAGAATCAGTCATTCAATCAATCAGCTGAAAGCAGATTGATTAGTTCAGACAGAAGTGGACTAAAACTGTCCACTTCCACCAAGTCACCAGATTCCCCCATCACCACACCCAGTTCCCACAGGTTTGATAAAACACCATGCACATGCAGAATAATCTCGTCAATAGATTTGGAAAAAGTCACCATTTTCAGGAAAGATTGAGCAGTCACATCCTGTTTATAAAACTGAGAAGACAGATAGAAGTGTCAACCTTGAGAATCACTTCACGACAGATTTCAGTCTTCTGGTGGAGAACCTTTTGTCCTCTGTAATTTAACTGCCTCACAGTTTGTGGGGACAAATGTAAGGAAATATTTCCCCATACATTTCAGATTACAGTAAAATGTCACTGCTGAAACTGAAATGTCCAAGAATCACATTCAAACCTGGATACTGTATGTTTTTAAACTCCACACAGTCACTGAAAACAGAATTCAAACTAATATGTACTAGGTATTTTCTTTTCACACAGCAGAGACAAAGCTTTGAATTTTGGTCCCTTACGTACCAACAGCCTTCACTGATTTGATGCTTTGACTAAGCCAGGCTCCAGGTAAGGTTACAAGTCCATATATGCCTGTATACTTCACATTATGATGACATCATTAGTGCAAAAACTAGTAAAAACTAGAATTACCGCAATGTGGTTGTCTGCCTCGGTCTCCCTCAAGTGGCAATTACAGTCAGGGTTTCGACGATATACCGGTTTTAAGGTATAGCCTACTGTGATATGAAAATTGACAGTTATCATACCATGAGCGTTTGTTTATCTACGATATTGAAAAAAAAAGCAACTGGACAGAGAATCTTTCATCATTGACACAATGGTTTCAAGTTTCAATTACAGTAATAAAATGTTTGTTTTACCAGTGATAACCCTTCTGTTTTCATTCCTTTATGGCATATAAATTCTGTAATACCGTGAAACAGTACTATTTTCTGAGACGCGTATTGTACCGTGAAAATCTCATACCGCTGCAACCCTTGTTACAGTTTACGTCCATGTCTGTCCAGACTCATATGTAGCTGTGACAGCTGACAACTATTGAAACATGGATGTTGCCTCAAAGAAGCTACAAAACCCGACAGCACAGAAGATCTATACCAGTGATTCCCAACTGGTCCAGATTTAGTCATTAGTTCAAGGTCCACACAGTTTAACATATTGAGCGTCATACTTGCGTTTGGCTGTCATCAACTTAGTTTGCGGTCTCTGTCAGGTAGCTGTCCATCAGTCACTCACTTTACAGTGGGTAACGGCACTTCAGAATAAAAACTCTGTACCACATATTCACTGTACTTGACAGTTTGTGAGTCACTTGTGGTCCATTCAGAATGGACCCATGACCCACTTTTGGACCGCAACCCACCAGTTGGGAACCACTGATCTATACAATCAGCACAGTTTCAAGATTAGAGTCACCAATTCAGTATCTGACCAAATGTCTCCCCTTCTGTTCCTGAGGTATGACGTTAAAACATGATGATGTCACAGCTGAGGTGACCTTTGACCTTTTGACCTTCATTATTTTATCCTGTTAGACATTTGTGTAAAGTTTTGTCATTATTACCAAATTAATTCTTGAGTTGTTGCCAAAAACATGTTTTGTGAGGTCACAGTGACCTATGACCACAAAATTCTACAAAGTTCACTGTTGAGTCCGAGTGGACATTTGTGCCAAAACTGAAATTCCCTCAAGGTGTTCCTGAGATATTATGTTCACGTGAATAGGAAGGATGCAAGGTCACAGTGACTTGATATCTGACCACAGTGGCACAAACGTTCACCTAATTTAAGAGAATGTTTGTGCCACATTTGGAGAAATTCCCTTGAGGTGTTCTTCAGATATGGCATTTGCAAGAAAGGAACAGATGGAGGTATGAGCAGATTAGCACGTGGTGGGTGAGCACTGATTTTTGCTGCTTTATTCAGTGTTTTTACCAGTTTGAATCACTGCATCTGTTTGTTTTGGAGAGGAAGAGACCTCTGTGTATAATTCAGCTCCTGAACAATGAACTCTGAAGGAATTCTTACCAGGAAAAATTTCAGCTGGTTGTGATCTTTAATCTGTAATCCTCACCGATAGACGCCACTAAATCTGACACACTGGATATTTGTAAGGTTTTAAACAGCGACACAACCAAATCTTCTGTCTAGATTTGTCTTCGGGAGGGATAATTTGCAAAAATCTGGACAATAAAAACTGGCTCTAAAATGTTCATGAAAGACTTCTGTCTGTTTGCATTTTTATATAATTCAGATGTAATCCACCCCCATTTTGTAGCAAAAATGCCTAATACCCAAATTAAAATGACTGTAGCTTCTGAACCGCTCTGACTACATGCATGCATGAGGTCTTGCCAGAAAGAAAACTCCCTGAAGTTTCTTGTGAAAGTGTCAGAAACACTCTAGGTGATACAGAGACAGAGTAATAGGCCTCTGAAGTCAGTAAAAAAATGAAGATTTTGCCTAAAAAAAAAAAAAAAAAAGTTTTTCAGGATGAATAACTGTCTGTGGCTTCATCTGAGCAGGTAAATGACACTGTGGGGCTGTAGGCACACTATCAATGAACATTTGTTTCAAATTTGAAGAAGACTGCTCAAAATATGACCATTCTACAGTGTTTTTCCTTCTTTGAGGCAACATCCATGTTTCAATAGTTGTCAGTTGTCACAGCTACACATGAGTCTGGACAGACATGGACGTAAACTGTAACAAGGGTTGCAGGGGTATGAGATTTTCATGCTCCAAATGACAAGTCGGTCACTCACTAAAGTACTCTGCAAACTCCTCTGTCGAGCTCACAGCAGCCGAGTTTTGACAGAAAACGGTGTGTGTGTGCATTATACTGATGCATTCTGGGTGTGGCCTGATTCAAACCCATGATATGAGCGGTACCAGAGTGAAATTGAAGCGGGAGATGAAGCGATGCTCTCAGTTTTTAAAATATCCGCTCTTGTGCTCGCTGTGCACTCACCTGCTCTGCCTGCAGACCACAGAGTGTGTAGAGGAGGTACAGAGTGTACCATCCATCAAGACAGACAGGACGCTCTGTACCTCAGCCTGCATGTATGGGCTCATATTGTCCCTTTACGTGTGTTTTTCTCTTCAGACCCTCACAGTCAGTTTTCAGCCTCAGAGTTAGCATGGTGTCATGTTTAGGTTCCTCTGATTGACAGTTTTTGGGTAACGTCAGGTCAGAGAAACAGAAAAGCACACAGGGCCTCGTCCACATTAAATCTGTCTCTACAAACAAACAGAAAACAGCAAAACGTTGGTTCGTCAGAGAAACTAAGTGACTGCCGCTGATCCAGTTTGACTGTTTATGATTTTTCACCCGAAACATAAAACGTGTTCATCATATTCAATAACAGCTGGAAAGACGAGCCGTCCCTCACGAAAAATAATAACAGACAAGAGCTGAAATGGAAAGTGGAAAGAATGGTTCGTCTCTCTCCCGCTCAGGGTAACAATGGCCTCCGTTGATCTCAGGCTCGGCCTCCACCGCAGCCAAAACCACAGCCAACGCACTGGAAACGTCACAAGCACCAGTATGTGTGTGTGTGTATGTGTGTGTGTGTTAACGCTTTTCTGTGTGTGTTTTAACCCTTCCTTATCCTTTAAAAAGCTGACTGTGGTCACGTTCTGCAGAAACATTTTACTCGTGGGAATTTTTGGAGGAAACTGTTGAAGTCGTTCAGACACTTTCCCCCACATCTCACCAACACATCAGCTCCACTCTGAAACCCTCAAGTCACTGACGTTACTTCTCAGCAGCTATTGTCCCCTAAGATACTGTGAGTATGTTCATTTCTGGATGTTTTCACTTTGTAGAAACATTTCGGAATTCAGTTGAGCTGCCTGGAACAAAAACTAACAACAGACAGAATGGGAATCACAGCTACGGCGTTGTATGACTCCGCCCACCACCCCACCCCGTGGTTGTATGACTCCGCCCACCAGTCCCGTGTTTCTGACAGTCTCCATCCATGTCAGTGAAAACATGGATGCTTCACACACATAAGATCTATACAATCAGCACAGTTTCAAGATTAGAGTCACCAATTCAGTATCTGACTAAATGTCTCCTCTTCTGTTCCTGAGATATGACGTTAAAACATGATGATGTCACAGTCAAGCTGACCTTTGACCTTTTGGATATAAGCTGTCATCACTTCATTATTTTAGTCTATCAGACATTTGTGTGAAGTTTGAACAACAGCAACATTTATGTTACAAAATTAAGCTTTATTATAACTCACAAGGTTCACCAACAAAACAAAGCGTATTCCCCGCAACAACAGCATGCTAACGTTTTTAGCACAAGCCTATGGCATTTTACATTGTATAAATTAGCAGTGAAGAAGCTAGTGGGGTTTCCTCTATTTATACAGCAACATTTAACACTATCACTTGTTAGAGTGGGCGCCACATGTACAAAGGCTACATCCTTTACGCAGTGTCTGTG